CTTTTTTATTGGGTTAGATTATTAATATATATATTTTATTATTTGGTTAAGGTCACTATTTTACGCGGACGAAGTCGCGGGTACAGCTAGTAAGATATATATCTAGTTTATAAGAATACTGATGTAATGCTGAATAAATGAAAATTATTATTATAAAAACACCCATATAATTTTCAAATGCAATACATCAGTGGGCTAATTATGTAACTTCGTTCGCAACGATTTTCGTATGTAACGTAGTGAAAATGACGTCATCTGTCAATAATGCGATCATATAGACGCCATTTGACGCTGTCAACTAGCATTGCAACGTAAACGCAACTTTACATATCGATAAAAATTATTTCTATCGAATGTCGATTTAGTAACCTCGTTGCAACGTCACGTAATCGCTATTTTGCCGAAATGACAGCGTGGAATTGAAACGGTTTTTACATTATGAGAAACAATTTAGAAGGTGTTTCTTTTGGTTACAATCTTTAAAATATCAGCATTAGCAGCATTATTTATCTTGTTTTGGTAATTTTCAGTATTACATATATTTTTATTATATTAAATATTACGTAGAAAGTCGTGAAAAGGTTTTAAATTTATTAAAATGGGAAAATTGTCACGACTCACAACACGACATCAGTGTTGCCAATTCGATATTTTATTTTCGTCCCAAATCACATAGAATGTTGTATTAACTAGAGTAAATGTTTAATATAAAATTAGGGTTGATTATGATATTAATATAATTAAAAAACTATTTCAATGAATACGGTGCTCTGTGAACGGAATACAACGTTTATGATGCTCTGTGATTTGTTTAAAGTAAATAAATTTATTTGTTTAAAGTTTTTACAATTATGTACAAATTTAAAAAGATGTGCCCATATCATTTTAAATTTATATGGATACCTACGTACTTACCTAGGTATCTATAGCAGAAAAGAAAATTTAATTTGTAGGTTAGATTAATATTATTAATGATTATAAATAGTTTGTATAAAATATGCTTTTATATTCAAAATTATTAACCTTATTTTTTCATTAGAATAGAATAGACTTTCTTTATTTTATTTTATTAAATGTCTATTAATAAAATTAAAATAAAAGAACAAGTGAACGCTGCAGTATATTTTGTAATTTTTGAACGCAATAAAAATTGTTTCAAATCAACCAACTAGTGTAACAACCCAATAAATTAAAATTTATCCCTCTAAAGGTATAAGCTATCTATTGTACTGACTTTTTAAATTGGTCGGATTAACAATATTCCGCTGCAACTTCATAGTAGTGTTTTATCGATAGAAATGATTTATGTTGCGGTCATTCGACCTTACTTGATCGCATTTTTTAAATTGAAATGATTTCATATTGCATCACAACTTCAACAGAAACAATTTCATATCGTGTTACATAATTAGCCCACAGGTGAGATCTCACATTAATTTTGCGGTTGCGCACATTTTTTCTGAGGCCGTACGAAGTTCGCCATATTAGCTAGTATTTTCATAAAGACCATTGATCCCCGACTTTTTTCTATATCTATATGCAAATATAGAAGACAGATTTAATGTCACCGTCGGTGTTCATAATGTCATTGCCTCTACGCATTGTTATCTGCAAATCCCCGTAATTTTATGTAAACAGAACGTTATCGTGGAACCGGTCGCCTGACGCGGAAAATGCTCGGAGATTATGCTACGGCGCAATTTACTAGGCTTGTCAATACAATATCGATATAAAAATTTATGCCTTACATCAAAATGTACCAAAAATCATGCTACATAATATTATAAAAGATAATGTTTGTGAGTATGTATCCATCCAGGATGTTTGTTACTCTTTCACGCAAAGACAACTGAATATTATAAAGTTTTACACTAATATAACTTATACATCAGAATAACATATGTTAAAAAGTTATGTATTTATAACTAGGACTACAACTAATGTCCGTAGTTTCAAACGTATAAATTTGTTGCCTATATGTTATTCTGATATATAAGCCCTCCAACATAATCCATAGATGGAGGATCTATCCCCAAACTTTCGCGTTTATAATATTAGTAAGATAAAAAATATAAAGGAATGCTGTATATTTTATCGTTGAGCTTTGATAAAATATCTTATCAAAGCTCACCGATATATCAAAACTTTATGAATTTGTTATGTCTAAATTGATATTTTCAAATTATCGAATAAAACATCTATACATTTAGGCATTTTTGACATCCCTAGTAATCTGCGTCTCTAATTTGACTTGCGCTAAAGTTGGTACTATTAATAAAGGAGTTTGGAATGTAGCGTCATTCAATATCACTGCAGTGAATTAACTACGGCGGTATTTTTATTTAATTAGTAACTAAATACTAAATAATGAGTATTAAACTGACTATTCATTTGATAAATTAGCTCATTACTCACGACGGACTGATTATGTTAAGAAAGAAACCAAATGTTTACAGAGAAAGAAATATATACATTGAGCTGTCGTAGTATGTGTGGAAACGTATTCATGACTCACGTTTTGAGATGATTAAGTAATCTTATTTCACTGGCATTGCTAAGAAATCAACGGTTCAACTGATGGCAATATGACAACCGTATCCCATATACAAAATAAAATTAAAATTAATTTATTCATGTAGGACATTTTAGCCGCGTCTGAACGTCAAGTTTTTTTGTATATATATTTGTCCCTATCGTCCAGTTCAATATACAGATTCAATTGAAAATAACTAGCAAGAAAAACAACTGAATTTCTTTTTTTTAAAGCCAGTTTATTTACATTGTTCACAATAGGTGTCTGTGTCTATTATTGAATGAAAATCCCGTGCATGAACAACTATTGCTATGCACGTTTGTCATTTAACTAATTGATTAGTGTGTAATAGCTCAATAAATATTATTTATAGACGTTACGTTGTCACACCATCCTTACCATTAATGTTAAAATAAAAAGTTTGTTAAAGTAATATCATTTTGTCGTAAGGTGACAAAATGATATAGCTTTGTAAACTGTGTTTAAAAAGGTTGAATAAGGTCGACATTAGACTGAATTTAAAGCTGCGAGGCAATATCTAAGTATATTCATGTGCATAGACGACGACCACTTACCGCAAAAACTACTTATTATATATATATATTTACTTTCAATTTGCGACTGTACTTATAATTTGATGGTCTGTTCATAAAGTTTTATATATGTATTTATTTGTAAATTTATCTATTGTTTTATAGAAATTTCTCTTGTCTCATTTAAATTAACTGCAACGCCAAACAATCTTTCTCTGCACCACTTAAGGTTGACTGGTAGATAACGCCGGAAGGTTTTAAGTCTGCCATATTGTATTACGTACACTTTATTTTTGCATTAAAGTTAAATAAATTATAATACGGACAGTACTAGTCGAGGCGTGAGTTTAGTGGTATTTACCCGAAGTCTTGATAAAATAAATGGACTGTACGCGATACATTTATTGTAGGTTTTGCATGTTCAGCGCGGAAATAGGCAAGACAAGGTCAACAGGCGTTTACACGGTCCCCAATAAAACAGTTTTCACGGGCACAGCAAACTGTATCATGGTTCATAGCGTATCTAAAATCAACACATAAAATTCACGCATGCAAAGCTTTAGAAATTTGTCGGTTCAGTAAGCATTTAGTTATTATACGTAAATGAACAAAGATAAATTATATATTATCGCGTAAGTTTAAAGCGTAGGTGCAAAATAAACAAGATGTTGGTATTATAGCGCCGTATCTTCACGTGGATCAAAGCGGAGTCTTTGATCCATACTGAACCTTCACCTTATTAAATATGTATTTACGGGCATTCGTGTCTTTAATTAAAGACTGTTCTAGAACATCTTAACCTTAAAATGTGTTTACTAACTATATCAACTTTGGGGGAAGGGGTTGCTAGTGATGTTGACTACTAAACTCATTGCTATTAATATACTATGTCAGATTGTCGTTCACACGGAGTAATTGACTGATGGTCTGTATTAAATGAGGATGAAGTCATATTGATTCATCATCATCATCCTCAGACCATCGTCACCAAAGGTGGAGTACAAAATGTCGTCTGATTGTGTATCTTAGTCTTAACTATCTCAGCCACCAGGCCTTCGTAGATACGAATACGAAGGCCTGGTGGCTGAGATAGGTATTTAGGTATTTCATTTCCATTTCTCATGTCTATGGTTATTGTTCTAGACTATCTGTGTACCAAATTTACAGTTAGGTATTTCGGTTTAGTAGTTTAGTAGCGTGAAAGCATATTAGAAAAACAAATAGTGATAATTTCGCATTTATAATATTAAGTAAGGATGCTACTAGGACTGTGTGACTTCTAACTACCCTAATAATGATGTAACATTTTCTGGTAATTTTTTCTTAATATAAACTTACCTACTGACTCATAATGTATACAATTGTAAAACTAGAAACGTAATTTTACTAAGAAAATAAATATTTATCTCATCAAGATGTTTGTTCTTTGAAATTTAGAGCGTAATTTATATGTGTACGGTTTGTGTTTTTTCTGATGACTGTACTATTTATTATTTTTCACATCTTGACCAAATAATGAAATTTTGGATATGCGTTGCCTGAGATGGAGATTTTTATCTTGATCTATCAAGGTGTTCTTGTGAAATCTAAGACCAAAAAAGAAACTCACCGCGAATTTCGTCGACAAAATGCTAACATAATGTATTAGAGGGGAAGAGATTGTTAGTAATGGGGAATAGTTATTCCATTGCTAGCAATGTACCATGTTAGATCTACCTCCACACGGTTTCCCCTGGAAATTATAGTGGTAAATTCCTGGTGAATTTGCCACCATGGGCTAACTGACCGGACGGACCCCTGCGCTAACGGAATATGGTCCGTGGAGCTCATAAATTAACTCCACGGTTCATATTCCATCAGCGTAGGGGGTGCAAGTTCCATTATCATCCAATAAAGAAAAACATAATGTAATAGAGACAATATCAACTTTTCAGGTGGTAGAATGTCACGACAAAAGAACACAGAAGAAGCGAGCATTAAAGGTTCTGCACGACAGCGCAAAAGCCAGGAGAGAGGTGGAACTCCATTGGAGAGCCAGCGGCTGTAGGCATATAGTCGAAGTTAGTATATATACATCTTTATCAGGTATTTATATGTTTACTTAAAAAATGTTAAATACAACAGCATTATCTGTCAATTGTTAAAAAATGAACTCTAATAAACCATTTTAATTTTAATAATTAGCTTTAATATTGCCACATACATTAATGTAAATATATTTTTTAAAGGCGTTGGTTCTAATAAAATATAGTAAAAAATATTGTTGCCCAATTACTGAATTCATTATTTATATATTTGGCATAAGCATAAACAGCAGTTTATATATGTGTTCAACGACCTCGGTGTTTACCACATTGCCTTACTTCCGATGGTCGCGGGTTCAATTCCTCGCAAGGTACTAACATTTATATTCATGAGTATGCATCTGTCTGGGTGATTTACATATGTACAAAAAAATGTGTAATAAAATCTTCTATCCGTTGTTCAGTACCCGTTACATAACCTCTACTTAGCTTGGGACTAGATAGGGCTGTGGACATTGTCCAGGGTTATTATTATTAACTAGCAGACCCGGCCACGCGTTTTTGTGGCTAATAGACAAATTGCAATAAAATAATATTGTGACTATAAATTTAGATGAAAGCTCTTCAAGTTGGATCAAATTGCACAAAATGTGCAAATCAAATTTGCAATCGGTTCAGTAGTTTAGGACTCCATCGCGGACAAACAACGTGACATGTAATTTTTATATATAAAAATATATAAGCCAGGTCACTACTTAGCACTAGGTAAGTCTGCTTACCGATTTAGTTACATTAAAAAAAACGTAAACTCAATGTTCTGAGAATCTTATTGAATGATTAACTTCTAGTTGGTAAATTAATACCTACACCGATGTCAATGCGGTTTTTTTTACTTGATGTGGCTGTTTAATTGAACTTGGTATAAGTCTATTCAGAATGTTGGGGAAGAGGAAGTGAGCCGGTTTTTCTATCTTGATTCATCGGTTTTTTTTTTCTTTGTGTATGTTGCATAATATCTTTATATATTCTGAAGCGATTCTGTATATTATCTTTATCCTTATTAATATTATAAATGTGAAAGTAGGGATGTTGTTTACGCTTTCATGCAAAACTACTGAACCGATCATCATGAAATTGTGTACTTCTTATTTTTATTTTTTTTATACAATGAAAAAATAAAATATCAACATTTTGCTACTTCTATATTACTATATACTTTATAGAACAAACCGAGAATTTCAAATATTTCTAAACCGTGCGAAGCCAGGACGGGTCACTAGTAGATTATTAATTTTAATTGACATGTTTGTAAACATCTATACTAATATTAAAGAGATAAACTTCGTGATATTGTAAGTAAATGAAAAATGTTAGAAAAACTGGAACTGGGAAAATGTAACGTAGACGAAGTTACGCGGGTCAGATAGTGTTTTATAAATGTGTCCCAGTAGGATTTTTTGGTTTTTTGATTAAATTTTAATTTGAACAAAATAACGTATTGTATTTTTATGTATTTGGAATGCCAAATAAGTTGATGGTAAGTGGTGGTAAGTTGTAATAGCCGCTTGTACACTGTGGTACAATTTAACTAAGAATAGGACTCATATATTTTTGTATGCACACCACTCATGCTTTGTCATTTCTAAGGACTAACATGTTATGGCTCTGTATCCCGTAATTTCACTGCTTTCTCTCGTGTAACAACTGAATCACATGTTACAAAGGAAACTAGTTGCTTGGTGACTGTAATAGGTGACATGGAACAAAACACAAACGACTTTGTAGAAAGTCTACCCCGATAAAAAAATATTATTTATATGGCCTTAGTCTAGACACACCACCAAGACACATTTAGCACACCGCTCACTTTCGATGGCCACAGGTTCGGTTCCTCTCACGATGCAAACATTTGTATTCATGAGTATGATTGTTTGTATTGATCTAGGTGTTTTGTATTTATGTTATGTAAGTATTTATAAAATAAATCTAGTTGTTACTTCAGTAATCTATTTTATATAATTATTTTTAATAGAATTTCCGGAGATTTTTAGTCTTATCTTGTTAAGGTTTGAAGGTTCGAGAATTTTCATCGGTTTTAGTCTTGGTAATTTTTCTAAGTATTTTTATTAGTGGTCTGGTACACAGCTATGCTTTTCTTGGGACAAAAAAATTAATATGAAACTTGTGCCTATTTATAGATGAACTTCGACTCGAAAGCGACCTTCCTAGTTTTAGAGTTCCGTATCGCGAACGCTAAAAGCGGATCCAAACTTGTGGCGTGATTGAGCATTTGACAATGATTAATTGCCGTATAATCTTTTTGATATATATATATATAATATACATATATGTATATAATCAATTTCTGATAAGTATATACTATAATTAATAAAAAAATCTGAGTAGGCATTGTTTGAATTCCGCACTTTTAGTAATCTTTTGAATATATCGCTCGTTTCATGTATACATAAAAAATAATAAGCTCATTTCATACAGACAGCACTCCGGACATCATTTTACCCATAATAACCACTCATATGTTGCCGTTTCAGTAGACTAATAGACATGCTTCTCATCCTATAATTTCACTCCCTAATCTTGACAGCCTCGTCGGTCTAGTGGTTTAGCACACCACTTTTCTATCCGATGGTCGTGGGTTCGATTCCTCGCACGGTACAAACATTTGTATCATGAGTATGATTGTTTGTATCGGTCTGGGTGTTTTCTATGTATGATATGTATTTATTTACAAAAAAAATGTATCCATGTATTTATACCAAATGTCTAGTACCCACCCATAACACAAGCTCTGCTTAGCTTGGGACTAGATAGCACTGTGTGAATTGTCTTGAGATATTATATTATTATTATTATATTAATCTGCACTCTACAGGCGAGAATCAGCTTACAAAACAAGCTGTTAGACGGCTGTAATAGACGGGATGATCTCTGTGATATAACTCACGGGGTTTATCTCGCCGCCTTAATTTCGATTATTGAGAATCCGATTCCTAGCCCAGTAAAAACGTATTCATGAGTATGCTTGTATTGGAGATTATCTATATATATATTGTGTAATATTTACCAAAAAATGTAATTAAATATTTATATCAGTTGCCTAGTATCCATAACACAAGCTCTGCTCATTTTTATTTTATTTATTTAGGTTATCAACAGCTTATACAATTTATACACAGAATATTTTATTTGTTTATTTATTTAATCATGTAATTCGGATATGTATCCATATTATGTTAGTAAACAACTTATAAACTATCTTAGTAAATTACAATTTATATTTTTTTTTATATGTATATTTGAGCGCGTATATACTATATATATACACGATTGGGTGAATCCCTATTGTGTTCTCTAACTTTGGCTCTGAAGTGTTTAACAGTATCGTTTTTAAATAACGAACTCAAACATGTTTAGCATTAAAGCAAATTTCATGAGGTATCTATAATTAGCTTTACTAATTATTTAATACTACATATTGGACAATTATTTAATACTATACGTGGACATACATACATGCATTTTAATTGTGGCAGTCAAACGCGCTCAAATTGGGGGAAGGCGATTGTTAGCAATGTGGACTGCTGATCTTATTGCTAGCAATGTACCATGTTAGCTTGACCTCCACCCTGGAAACCATCATGATAAATGCACGGTGTATTTTTTTGTTTTATGGATGATAATGGAATGGTGCCCCCGCCTGCGCTAAAGGATTACGCTGGCGGGGCACCAGTGGGGGATGATAAGATGAACATGAGATCAGGTCAGCCCATCGTGACAAGTACACCGTGAGGGGGGAAGGGGATTGTTAATAATGTGGACTCATGACCCCATTACTAGCAATGACCATGTCAGGTTGACCTCCACGCGGTTCCCTCTGGAAACCATCGTGATAAATTCCTGGCGAAATTGTCACGATGAGCTAACTGACCTGACCTCATGTTCATCTTATCAACCTCCACTGGTGCCCCGCCAGCGTAAACCGTTAACGCAGGCGGGTGCACCATTCCATTATCTTCCATAAAACAAAAAAATACACCGTGAATTTATCATGATGGTTTCCAGGGTGGAGGTCAACCTAACATGGTACATTGCTAGCAATAAGATCAGCAGTCCACATTGCTAACAATCCCCTTCCCCCAATTTGAGCGCGTTGGACTGCCACAATTAAAATGCATGTATGTATGTCCACGTATAGTATTAAATAATTGTCCAATATGTAGTATTAAATAATTAGTAAAGCTAATTAAATTAAAAGAAAATTTCATGAGGTATCCTCATGAAATTTTCTTTAATGTTAAACATGTTTGAGTTCGTTATTTAAAAACGATACTGTTAAACACTTCAGAGCCAAAGTTAGAGAACACAATAGGGATTCACCCTGTCGTGTATATATATAGTGTATAATGAGTAAATGACGTTATAATATAATAAACTACTTATACATACCATATAATACTTACCTTGATAAATATTATATTGGGGAGATTATTATATACTATTAAAGGGGATTGTTAGTAATGTGGACTGACGATCTTATTGCTAGCAAAATACCATGTCAGGATGACTTCCGCGCGGTTCCCCCTGGAAACTATCGTGGTAAATTCTTGGTGAATTTGTCACTATGGGCTAACTGGCCTGACCTCATGCTCTTATCATCCTCCACCGGTGCCCCGCCAGCGTAAACCGTGCGCGGGCGGGTAAAACATCCATAAAAAAAAATACTTACCTTGTTACTGAATGTCGCTATGTGAATTGTCCTGAGTTACGCCACATTTTACTCGTTTCTGGTACTTTAAGATTTCAATGGCTTCCGTAGACATTTCACGCTCAACTGATTATATTATTTATACTATTACGTCTAGACAATTTAATGAACCATTGTTCTAATGTGAACTCTATCCAATACGAGTTTGTTTTATTAAACTTAAACTAATGTTTAAATCTGTTTTTTTTATAAATTACTGCGCATCTAATATCATTCCCGTGATATGTGCGTCATACTGTGTATGTAAATTAAGTATTCATTATGTATATATACTGACATCCTTATTGTTAGTTTGTTAGTGCGAAAGACAGATATATGGTATCTTTAAATATAGGCATTTCTATAGTCTTAGATTACACGTTGTCATGTAGAAATTAATTTTATTGTTCAAAACAGTGCTGTTATGTGTTATTTTATAATTAACTAGCAGTACGTCGCGGCTTCTCACGGATTTGAATTACTTGTCTTGTTGTGTACTATAACACGCATGTATTATATATATAAACCGTCCTCTTGTATCACTCTTATCTATTGCTGAAAACTGCATTAGAATCCGTTGCGTAATTTAAAAGATATAAGCGTACAGACAGCGGCGGCGACTTTGTTTTATACTATGTAGATAATGATGGAATAGCTCTTGAAGATTATATTTTTATGTAACTATGTATAATAGCAAACCAGTTTAGTTGAGTTCTTCTCAACTGAAGCTTGTTATACTTGGATAGTAGGGACAGTTATAAACTCCCCTCCGATCGATCCCCCGATCATCCGATCGATTCCCTGTCCAATTCAAACGGGGATGGAAATTACGACGTCCTGAGCCGAGGTTAGAACCCCTACCGGTGACCAGAGACTAAAGTCGTATCCGTCAGGCGGGAGTTGGCCTTCAGCCGCTCCATAAGTTTCGCGGATTTGGAGTGCCATCTGCACACGTCCCCTATCATCCGTTGAAGCTGTTAAGGCCAGCTGGGGCCAACAGCATTGGTCAGAAAACAAAAGTCATAAAAAATAGGACATGCAAGTTCGAGAGTTCTTACGTGAAATGATTTTGACTATCTTTTTTCGATCCATAGATTATAGACGTGTATGACAACACCTACGGTGGGAAACGATGCTTGCTGGTTGTGATGGAGTGCATGGCCGGTGGAGAGTTATTCCAGCGGATACAGGACAACAGCGATGGAGCATTCACTGAACGACAAGCAGCTGAGGTTAGTAATCTAATCTAATATGGATTGTCATACTCGCTGAAACGTCTAATGTTGTTCCGCAGATAGAAAGATTTGACGGCCTCAATGGTTTAGTGGTTTAGCACACCGCTTTACTTCCGATAGTCGCGGATTCGATTCCTCGCATAGTACAAACATTTGTTTTTATGATTATGATTGTGTGTATTTATTTGAGTGATTTTTATGTTATTATGTATGTACTATATCTACAAAAAAATGTATTTCTATCAGTTGTCTATAATAAATATATACGTGAAGCAGAACTTTGCACCCCTTTTTATGAAAATTGCGCGAACGGATAATTATAAAAATACATCACGTAGATTGCTAATATAACATAGACTACAATTTATTTTGACACACACCCATATATTCTCTTTAAATTATTATTCCTGGTTCAATGATCCTTTTGGGTTTTTTATTACGACCATTTAAAACCAATATAGTATATAAAAAACAACATATAAAAATGGCCTATTATTTTTTTCAGATAATGCACTCCATCTGCGTCGCAGTTCGACATCTACACGACTATAATATCGCTCACCGAGATATCAAGCCTGAAAATTTATTGTACACAAGCATGGAACCAAACGCACACCTCAAACTTACAGATTTCGGGTTCGCAAAAGAGACCCTAACGCCTGCCGACACGCTCCAAACTCCCTGTTACACCCCGTACTATGTAGCACCCGAGGTTAGTTGTAATTACAGTCCTACACTATCGTATATCATGGGCGTAGCCAGCCTGCGTGACTCGAGTCGTGTCGTATCAACAATTATAGAAACTGATGGAAGAGCGTGGAATATAGCAAGAGTTTCACCGACAAGAGCGCGACTCTTAAATTGGGATCTAGGTGTAGCCAGCCATGCGCTCAGGGAGGGCAGCAGTCTAAAATATTATGTAACTAAGAAACTATACCCGTGGTTACACCCTGTAGCACCCTGTACTGTATATTATTTTATGCGTTGACTGTTGAGTTTGAACTTTCTTAAGGATATTAAGTATCGTAGTTGGTACTTAGATAATTTATTTTTTTTAGGTTTGGATAGGTGCCTCACTGGTCAGAGCCCCACCGTGGCTACCCCCATGTTCAATCTGAAGATGTAAACAGAATAACCCCTTCATGAAACTAAAACCTTCTTACATTTTAACTGAGAAAGTTATATAATTAGCACGAGTTGTGTTCACTTCCTTTTAAATTATATTATTTTTAAATATTTTAAGCATAAAGATGAAACATTTAAAGTATAAAACAGAACAGTATGTATGTATGTATGTTTGTTATGTTTTTTTTTATTTAAATGTAAGTATTATGCAAAGTATATAGAAATGCTTGGGCTTGAAAAGTTATTTTAAAAAATTCAATTTATTGCTTTATATCTCAACTAAGTCTTATGATTATATATTAATGCCATATGATTTGAAAAACAACAAGTAAATTTGAAAGAACTTAATCACAATATTGTTTGTGTCGATTTTATATAAAACTATCATCAATTATACTATGTTTTTTAATCGATTTTATGCTTTGGATAGATTTTGTTTTCATGCTGATGTCAGGCTTATGTATTGCCCTATTTGAAATCAGATTATTTAAATAAAATATGAATATTTTAGAATAACAATAATATTAGTGAGAAAACAATAATTTCAGCCGTAACTTTTCAATTAAGCCTAATTTTCCCTAAACACACAACAACTGAAACAAACCCTCACCCCTCTAAAAAAGAGATGCTAATTGTTATATTTTGTGCTACATGTTAAAAGTGTGTCTGTCTTTGCCATCATAGTTGCCACACGAATGAATTTAATTTACTGTTTATTTATTTAAAAATGATCTGTATGGTTCTTAGTTATATTTCATGAAGATCTGTTTAGGCGTTTGAACATTATCGACCCCTTATCTGGAGGAACAAGGGATTTCATCTACTTTGAATGTGCATAGATGGATGGATGTTTGTTATTCTTTCACGCAAAAACTACTGAACGGATTTTGATGCTATATGAGGCTATATGTTGGCGCACAACACTAGCGTTGGGATCGACTGTCTGTCGGTCAGTCCCGGTTGAGGTCACACTTGTATTTGCGACGGCGACCATCTATAACATGTTTATAACATTGTTATAAGCAGTTAAGTTTTATAAAATATATTGTAAATCATACAAACTGCAGCCAGATATTACTCATATCCACATCGGAAAACTATAAATTTCATGGTGAAACCGCGGGCTCAGCTAGTGTATTATATAACATTACTAGCTACTCGCTCCGGCTTCGCACGAGTGTACATGTATTATATATATATATATACCATCCTCTTGAACTATCTATTTTAAAAAACCGCTTCAGTCGGTTGCGTAGTTTTAAAGATTTAAGCATACATAGGTACGAACAGACAGCGAGAGTGACTTTGTTTTATAGTATGTAATGATTTGTATTCGTTACAGGTTTTAGGACCTGAGAAATATGACAAATCGTGCGACGTTTGGTCCCTCGGGGTTGTGATGTACATCCTATTGTGTGGGTTCCCGCCTTTCTACTCCAACCACGGTCTAGCCATATCACCCGGGATGAAGAAGGTCAGTTGGTACTTTTCATATTAATATATAATTGTATATCTGCTTATGCTAACAGATATACGCTGAGGATAATCCAGAGGAAGAAGATATAATTCAGAATAAATATCATAGTGATACACCAGGAATTAACCATGACGGTTTCGGTGGAAGCTCTTATTAGTAACAGCTGCCTAGGTGGTCTAACAGTTTAGCACACCGCTTTACTTCCGATAGTCGCGGGTTCGATTCCTCACACATTGCAAATATTTGTATTCATGAGTTTGTATAGGTCTGGGTGTTTTCTATGTATGTCATGTATGTATTGACAAAAATAAAATATCTAAGTATTTATATCAGTTGTCTAGTACACATAATAGGCTCTACTTATCGTGACTAGACGGTGCTGCGTGAAATGTCCCGTGTTATTTATTATTTATTTAATGTTTAATGTACTAGGTACTCGCCCCGGCTTCGTCCGGGTGTACATGTATTATTATATATATGTATATATATAAACCTTCCTCTTGAATCACTCTATATATAGAAAAAAACACTTCAGAATCCGTTGCGTGGTTTTAAAGATTTAAGCATACATAGGGACGGACAGACAGCGACAGCGACTTTGTTGTATATTATGTAATGATGATTTATTCTGTTACAGCGTATAAGACTAGGTCAGTATGACTTCCCTGCGCCAGAGTGGTCCAACGTGTCATCCGAAGCCAAGAATCTCATCAAGGGAATGTTGTCCGTAGACCCAGCCAAGCGTCTCACCATAGAACAAGTATGTAACAACTAAATAATCGGCTTTTCTTAGGCAAAATATGTTTTTTTATATTGAGTCTCGGTGGTTCAGCGGTATAGCACACCAACGATTGTCGCGAGGTCGATTCCTCGCACCGTACAACATTGGTCTGTGTGTTTTCTATGTATATTGTGTATGTATATACAAAAATATATATTAATAAGTTAATACAAGCTCTGCTAATCTTGGAATTAGATAGCGCTGTGTGAATGGTAGGGCCATTCATAATATTAGAATGGATAAAAGAATGATTTCAATCTTGACAAAATTTGTATACATTAGAATGGAAAGTGTAGAAAATTCTTAATTAATTTCGAAATTAATCTATATATATTAATAAAATTGGATTGTCTGTTTGTAATATTGAAATAACCGTTTTTTACTACATGCATATGAATATAAATACTGTACATACACCAAAAAAAACACTTTTTACAATTTTTATGTCTGTCTGTTTGTTCCGGCTAATCTCTGAAAAAAAGTCCCGTTAAAATCTGTCTTGGCTAGACCGATTTTACCTTTTTTTGGCAGATAACTGATGTAATAAGGAGTAACTTAGGCTACTTTTATTTTAGAAAAAATCTTTTATATTAGAAAAATTAAGTTAAATTCCACGCGGACGAAGTCGCGGGATCAGCTACTTAAGAAAAAATTAAGCACTTTTGAATAGTCATTTCACTTATTTTTTTAATCTACTGCTCATTCGGAAAAGTCACAAAAAGAATGAGCAGTCCATTATCATATACATATAATACTTAATATTAAATGCCTACAAAACATTATCCATTTTGGTTTTAGGACTAGTGATTTCCGGTATATTGGTGTAAGCGAGATGTAACAATAGTATTTTATTTACAGGTAATGGCGAGCCCCTGGATTCGACAGTATACACAAGTGCCCCAAACTCCTCTCTATACCCACACGCTACTCCGCGAGGGAGGAGAAGCATGGGCGGACGTGCAGGACGAGATGACGAGGTCCCTAGCTACAATGCGTGTCGATTATGACCAAGTAAGTCCCATTCCACTTACTATTCATTTAAATTTTTGCCACGCACAACCACTTCTAGCAGTAGAACTTCCGAACCGATACGATATTGTAATCTTCAAGGAATAAATAAATAAGCCTGGACAATTAAAACAGCGCCATCTAGTCACATAGTAAGCGTAGCTTGAATATATAAACTATAAGTATGCGAAATTTCATACTAGAGGATTATGAAATTTTCCTCGCAAATTTCGTTAAAACGGAGTTTTTGTTTCACGTATTTATATAATATATATATTTTGTTTTTTTTTTTCAGGTACAAATCAAAGCGCTAGAAAACAGCAACAACACATTATTAAATAAACGACGAAACAAGGTCGGAGCTTAGAGTGTAATTTTAAGGTATAGCTTATTGTACTGTTTATATATAGTTTGACCGGGTTTCTTTCTTAATTCTAAGACTGTTAAGAAAATGGGTTACCCCACAGAGGGTAGGAACTGTTAACTTAATTTTGACTCGATATTCAAATAATCATGCTGCTTGCATACTTAAATTCTATATATTTACGAACTTAGTGCAATATTGTTTGTGCCAATTGTACCTAATGTTTTAGAACTACATTCTTACGAAGGTACTATGCTTCGTGGTTTGACAATAACTTAGTTATTTCAGTTTTGATGCAAATAAGAAAAACAACAATAACATATTTATATTGAAAAATTGTTTATGCACTTTGTTATATGTACATACATTACCGATCTCTCCTTTTTTTAATTCTTACAAAGACCTTTATAAAAACTATACATAGATATAACAAAATTATTTTCATTTCGAAACACCGCCCGTAACACTCCACTTGTTTTTTTGGATGAATGGATAATAATTGGAATGGTAATCCAGTCTTCGCTACCGGTTTACGCTGGCATGGCACCAGTTGAGTATAACAAGATGAACATCAGGTTTAGTTCAGTTAGCCCATCGTAGCAAATTAACAAGGTATTTATCAAGATAGTTTCAAATCCAGCGCCGCTTAGGAACATTCTTTCGGCATACGCTGATCCAGTTTATTTTACCGCCTTTATTTCAGTACCCCTTAAATGTATTTTTTATGTAATTTCATTGGCAGCAATAAATTATTGTTATTCTTATAATAAAGAGTATATTTTTTCTTTTCTCTTTTTAAGAGGTCTTTGCATTATATATATCACACGCAAGTACATCACTTTAAAAGTATATACAGTCAACCCTCCTATAACGCGGTGAGTGCGTACCGCGTTGTATGGAAACCGCGCTATAAGAAACTCGGATTTAACCATACAAACCAGGCTAATTCGTAGCGCGTTCTATGGAAACCGTCTACCGCGTTGTATGGAAACCGCGCTATAAGAGACTCAGAATAAGTACAAATCCCATCATTCGTACCGCGTTATATGGAGACCAATAAATACAAAAGACAAGATAAAAATAATTTATTAAATAAGGAAATGATGAAAAAAATGAAACAAAAACTAAACTAAAAAACTGTTTTCCAACAAAAACAAAAGAAAGACTTTTGTAAAATGATGTAATCTTTCAACACTCATCCTCACTGTCAGATATGAGTCGCCTAACTCGCCTTCTTTTAATGGGCAAAATGTCTTCCTCACTTGGTTGATCTTCACATTGGTTTTAAGCGGCTAAGACATAAGCAGAACGTAGTTTTTCTATAATTCACGCGACAATGTAGTCAAAAGATCACATATATATCTTTCATGTTACAGTTTCGTTAGACACACACACGCATGGCACGCTGTCGATGCGAAACTATTTAGTTAATAGAAGTGGAATATAGCGCACGAGGAGCCCCACCCGTGAACCACGCTGATATAAACATATCCAGTTAAAACCATTCATTGGGTGCACGGAAAGAACTGATGGGACGTTGTTGAACGGAGACCGCGCTGTAAGAGTACCGCGTTATAGGAGGGCTGTCGCAATTTTAGCTCCGCGTTATATGGAAACCGCGTTCTGAGAGTACCGCGTTATAGGAGGGTTGACTGTATATTAGTATATTAATAAATTTAATTCCATATTCAAATCAATTCTCAATTAAATATTTACGATAATGACTTATTGTACTTATATAAATTAACTAGCTGTTGACTGCGGCGCTACCCGTATCGAATACACAATATGATAGTGTAGCTGTGTATAGGTGAAGGAAATTTTATAAGGGTCAATTATTTTTGTGGTTATTACAACCAAACATACAAAGAAATCAAATATTTAAAAAATATTGTTATATTAGGAATGTGGGCAAATAATTTAGATATAAACCAACAAAAATGTATTTTTACGTGTATACTACATGAAAAAGACTATATAAGAGCTTTGTTAAAATTCTAAACAGTTCTACTAAACATTAGCTCATAAGATATGTCCAAAAACATACTTTGACTACTCATATTAAAAGTGCTTCTTGCAAAATAACAATATTCGAGTCTCTTGCCCATTCTTCTCCGCTCACTCTCTTTGCTGAGTTTAAAGGTCATAAAAAGTACCTAATAAGTGCTTAAAACTAAGTTTATTTTTATTATATGAAGTAGTATAAATATTACAATGTTTTGTATTTAGTGGTCAGTGCTCCCAAAGTTTAGTAATCACAAAATAACATAAATGAAGTCAAATATGCATTTTCTAATATTAACCAATCATAGTTTTTTAAGTTATTATTAATAAAAGACACAGAAATAAAATATTTGGAATGGTTTCACGGCATATTTTTCATATAATGTAATCTAAATATGCCAAATCATTTACTTATCTATATATGTTTCAAAGGAAAATAAATATAATGGGTTATGTTAATTGTGGATTCAGCATCAATTGAAACAAGCCACTAAACCTTAAATTTTGCTTAAATAATAATGAAAAAAGTAGAAGAAATTAATGAATCCTTTCAAATATTTTATTTCCATTAACTATAAGATATTAATAATAATTAACTGAAAACGAATTCATTTATGACCAAAAAAAACAGTTCTCACGAAGAATAAACTGTAATTATACTTAAATGTATATTATACATAAAAAAGTACATTACAATATTGCAATTATTTCCAAACTTAAACTTACTACAACTGCAAGTTTAGTTATTTAGTGTTCAAATTAAAAGATGTCAATTCTGCATTAGGGTCTTATATAAAATATAGGTGCTGTCTCAAATTTATATTTACAAATATATATACTGTAGTAATAATAGACCTAAAATGTACTAGTAACCTCTAAGATAACCTCTCGTTGAAATACTAGATGAAATAAAAAGTATTGTTGCGGTCTTCAATAACTTCCTTCTCGAACTGCGTATTAGAAGCGTTATGGGTACATTCATCTCACTCAGATTAAAATAATAATAAAATCAGTATGAAGAAATATAATAAAAAAACAGTGCGTAGAAAATTTATAACAAGAGGCGGTTATATCGCTTATCGATTATAACGTATACATAAATAACTACAGCAGTCTATTTATTGCTACTACTAATTATTTCTGAAAATTATCCTTAATTTAAGACGCGAGATATAAAAAATCTTATTGTTTTAATACTAAATAAGCTACGATAAATGAATATTGATGTTTAAAAAATTAAATGTATTCATAATTTACATTATTTGTAAGTTAAATTAAAAAGATATTTGGGTGTGTATTTCAATGTTTCGGTGTTAATTATATTGTGGGAAAATTATAATAAAATATACAAATTAATTTAATTTAATTCTAAATTTATAAATGAATATTTAGATATTTCTGTCTTAACTTGTAAGTGTATGTTTTCCAACTTGAAATTTATGTAATGATGTTTAAATCTCCCATCATCATACATACATCATGTGTGTCATATTGTAAAACATATCTGTTATGTACAAATCATCACAATTTTAACATTTTTCGAGTTCCCAATTCATGGGCGTAGCCACGGTGGGCCAACGTGGATCGCTTGTCGCACCTTGGCAAGTACCTAACTAAATCTAAAAATATAAAATATCAAAGTACTAATTACAATACTTAATATCCGTAAGAAAGATCATACTCGACAGTCGACACAAAAAATAATATAAACATACAGTATGATACATAATGTAACCGTTTTGCGGGTATGTAACTAGCAACATAATATTTTATATTACAGCCCTACCTTGAGCCCATGGCTGGCTACACCCATGTCCCAATTTAATAGTCGCGTTCTTATCGGTGGAACTCGTGCCACTTCCACGATCTTCCATCATCTCTTCAATTGTTGATACGACGCGACTCGAGGCATGTGTAAAATAAGTTTTCTACAAATTTGATTCAAAACATATGTGCAGATGGAAACAAGGAGTAACATTATTCGTATTTTCTGTATTGCTTACTCACAATTACCACCTTTAAAATTTTGCACTCTGTCATGTTTTGAATATCAAATTATTTTAAAAAAATCTTTGACAAATAGAAAATCTTTACTAGTAAGTTTTTTTTATTAATATCTACACACTGAAACTTTGAATTTAGTGTTAAAAATGTTACAATATATTTAGTGACTTAATATTGCCAATTTTTATTTACGAAGATTTTTTTGCCGTCCATCTTTTGAGAGAGCCCCCTATGGGATATTTTCGTAAAAGAAATATATTTTAGGTGCTTTTTGCGCTGTATAGCTATGGTAGTTGTGAATATAATGTAATCTTAATGTAAACATAATATATATGTACAAAATTGAAGAAAACAATTGAATTAATCACTTTTTTTTTCTTATTTATATATATATATAATTTGTGTAATCCTTTCATACCTAATGTTTTATCTTTTACATTAATTAGACATTGGATATTTTCCATGTCGAAACCATACCACATGGTATATTGGGTGACTACTGCGTACAACCTTAAATTAAGGTTTCTTAAGGGTCGCAACTAGGCTACGGTAACCGTTTACCATCATGGATAGCCCGATCGCTTTACCACCATTGTGAAATTAAAAAATGATGGCATTATCTGTCGGAATAATAGACTAAACATGTATGTTTATTATATACATATATCTATAATTATACTCTGGGTATTTTAATCAGAATGTTTTCGATATTTGCTTGCGGCTAAATTTTAGTTTGTGTGTATAATAAACTTCTTTCGGTGTTTAATTTTTAAGATATATTAATAAGTAAATTTTTTAAGTCACAAAAGTCGTACCTTACTACGATGATAGTGTATATTTTATGTGAAAAAACGTCAGTATCAGTAGTCAGTACAAAGGATTCCTCGACACATAAAGCAGCTCACAGTATTTTTTTTTTAATCCATAAATACGCATCATTTCCGTTTAAAGCCAATCTTATTGTAGATATAAATAAATAATATTGATCATAAAGTGTATACTCGGAACAAAACCAGTACATAAGTAGGTAACTAAAAATTTTCACAAAGAAACATAGTTCAAATTATATTTCTAATTATTTCTGTTTCTCAAGTTCAAGTTTCATAAGTATTCTTGCCTTTTAACGTGATATTATACCCTTTACTTTAATGTGAGCAGCTGTGATAAAAATGAAAGGAAGGGTCAAAATATCATGCAATTTCTGTGAAGTTATTTATGGATGGACTTATAGAATACCCAGCATCATATTAATAACATATTATGTACTGATTTAAATTTGACGCGGTCAGTATAAATACTGTTTTAATAACGAGACTCAATCGAAAATAAAACTTGGTAAAGATCCCGTAATTTCTCCTAATTGTATGTAAATACCTCATGGTTGTACTTATGGATGAATTCCAATATATTTTCATAATATCTTTACATCATGTTATATTTTTTCACTAAAATCCATTTAAGGAATAAAAATATTGTTAGTTTGGTGGAATCTTAATTGGATTAATCAGAATGCATTAGTGTAATGTTTTTTGTTTATGTTTAGTCGTATATTTAATAAACATGCTACGTGAAAATATAAAATAATTGCATATGTACTTGTTTTTTTATTTATTACCTATATAAAAACATATTGTAAATATATGACTCGTCTGGAATAGATTAGGATATGATTGATATATAAAAGCAAATGAAACATAAAGGGTTATTTAATAATTATGAATAAAAATTACCTACTTTATTAGTTTTTTAAATACATATTGCTATTTCATATGGGCTACATATGAAATAGCAATATGTATTTAAAAACCTAACATGTTTTTTAATGCCATTGGATGTGTGCATACAGCACCAACTACTTAAATATTGGTTCAATACGCAAAAATCATATAAGAGTTTGAACCTTTGACACCACTTGAATCCTCTCTTCCAAAGGTAGACAAATTACGTTGATGTTTGATTATATTTGAGAAAAAGAGTCAGGATGTAGACAGACCTAAATACGCCAAAAAAGGTTTTTATACAAAAGTGCAAGCCCGTGCAACTTCGTCTTCGGAATTTTTGTCTCGTTTTTACAAAACGTTTAATTTCAGCTCTACTCCTATTGGTTGTAGCGTGATGTTGTATATAAGCCAACTGCCTTCATCACAAATGGGCGATCCACCACAAAAAGATTTTTTAATACAGATAGAATACTTTTAAATTATTCCGAACCTCACAATTTGTGAGCCTGGATGTTACCTCTTTATACTATTATTATTGTGGTAGTACTCTATTACTGAAGTGGAATTACTACAGATTTACCTACACATATTGAGTCATATCTCCAAATACTAAATTGTCGTGGAAAATAAAACAAAACTTGGCATTAATAATTTATTCCAATAAAAAAGCGCGCCCAAATTCCAATAAATAAACGTTACCAATTAAACAACAGCTTCACTTACAACTAATAATTCCCCAATTCGTGCTAACTTAATTGTACACAAATACGATTAATGGAATACAGTTTGTACTTATAACGTATGTAGGTGTATATAAAAGCAAAAATAGTTAAATAGCATGCTCTTAACAGAGAGGATACACATTATTAAGTCGTCCGCTTTCACATAATAAGCGTTTTAAAACATGCTTTCGTTAGCTACCATTATTTAAAAAATGAGATTACAAAAAATACTTTAACGTTGAAAGTTATTCGAGAGACCCATTTATAATAATTAAATAATACAATAAAATGTCATAAAGTTCTATGAACAAAAATAAAGATCCAGACCAATACTGCAGAATACTGTGTGGTTAATTTTATATAAAATAAGTTTTGTATGTCCGTGTGAAATGACTCATGCAAACACACACAAACTTATTACTTCGATTAGTATCAATGAGTCAAACATAAATATTTGGTTGAATCTAACAACTGAATCCAATGCTGTTTAAACAGTAGACGTACATAATTCTTACTGCAGAAGGGACATATTAACAAATTAATAGTTAAATTATTTGCCGTGGATATCGCCACCTAATTTTGCCGAATACATGTCCACCTATCTATTAATTCTACAAGTTATATCCAGTTCATAAAAGAATAACTCAGCCTCTATAACACGACGATATCTTTGTCCTATTGTATAATAATATTTATGATACATACTCGTACATAAACATAATAAGTCATGTCACAAAATTCATATTAGAACATTAGGGATGATAAAATACGTTTCATTTGGATTATATATACGTAAAACTTAGATACCAACAAAAAAGTTTGTACAAAATAATCAGCATTTTTTTAGAAAATTGGAATAGCAAACTAGTTAATTGATGATAAGTGCCAACCGGCGCCTGTGCCACGGGTATAACGTCATATGCACCCGTACTACGTTGTGTTTGCGAAGGATTACGGTGTAACACCAATTTGACTGCCATAGCTCACTCATCAAACAAAAACAGTGTATAAAGTAACCTAAAGTAGCTTGGTGTTTAAAATAAGAGAGGACAAATCTCTCTTATTTTTATACGCAGATAATTTTGTACAAATTTTATATCTGTTCAATCTATTAAACGTTTTTTACAGTATACTGTAAAGTATGTATATAGCGGGTGCAACCCAAGCGCTTTGGGTCATAGTGAGGCCTACGAGGCCCGCGAAACCGTACCACAGCGAGCCGATGATCAGAACTTGCCAGATTATGTGGACCACTAATAACCTGAAATCAAGATTGTATTATTTAGTTATAATGTTCCAACAGAAGCTTCAAAATTTATAACAATTATAATAAGTATTTGTTGCGCAAAAAAACGTATATTAATAATATCCCTGAATAATTCACACAGCGTCATCTAGTCCTAAGCTAAGCAGAGCTTGTGTTATATGTATTTGATAACAGATATAAATACTTAGCATATTTATTCCGCTATAATAGAATGACTATGGAATTTATTTATTTAGTTATTTATATAACATGCTTGCCATCAATCTTTCGTTTGGACAATTTTATATTTCTGACGTCAATACAGATATACTATTTTACATAGTAAATTCTATTACAGTAATCACTGTTTCTGGATAGTACTAAATTAGAATTTATTACATAGTTACTTCTTTAGTAGTCGATTACTTACACACTGTCTTTGCTCCTGGCCGCTGGCAAATTGGTTTCTTTCTCATTATTCAAATATCTTCGTACACCTAACAGAAGGTTTGTAAAATAATCCTTCCACTGAAACAATAAACATTAATTAATAAGATAGTAAACGCGAAAAATTAAATAAAAATATTAAATTACTTATAATTGGGATAAAGTAAACTTCAGTTTAACTGTTATTAAAAAATGTATATAATTATATGTACACCATACGCCATGCCATTCCATGGACTACAATAGCAGTCGAATTATAGAGTATGGTACTCCATACGTAATGGCGACTTCGTTCTCTATAATTCGACTGTCATATCTCAAACTTCAAACGGAAACACTGCTTAAAAAGCAAACCTTGATAGATCGAATATATGAACAACACTTTGTACAAAATCTACCTCAGTAATATGTTTTAATTCTATGTAGCTCTGTGCCAACACACAATGGTCAATATTGTGTGCGAAAGTGACGCCTAGGACCTTTCTAACCGAAGTGGACTTTGCTTTTTACAGTTGTCGGCGTGGGTACCTCAATAACCATTAAACATTACAAAATACTTACAACCAAAGTTGAAATATCTATAAAGAATAAGTCCTTGTCCGTCTTATTTAATTGCTTGCACAAGTCCAATGTGTTGGGGTTGTAGAATTTCCATTCGGAAAATATGAATTTCTCCAAACGACTAAGGGAATTCCACACGTTTTTATTTAATCGGAACAGTCTGTGGACAAAAATTAAACATTTATTTAAGTGAGAATACGATAACACTATATTGGGAAGCTTGCGTATTTAACCACAAAAGGGTAGAACGCATGCGGGCTAAAAAATATATAATAGAATCAAAATCGGATAGTATTAATCGTCCAAGCACACACACTTTATCTCTTTATAATATTTATATAGTCTAATCGTAGAAAATAGGGGGCAGAGCTAGCACTAAATAATAATAATTGATCTCACTAGGGATAATGGAAATGGAAATATTATTTCTTGAAATACACTTAATTTTAAACACTATATAATAGATAAACACTATATATAATCAGGCACATTTTTGTGTTCTAGCACCCATTCTACATGCAGTATCAGATGAACAGATTTTCAGGATCCAACTACTTTCAAAACTGAGCGTAGTTTTTTATGATATAGAAAAACTACGCTCGTACGTATCAGAAAAAAAATATATTTCTGATACATTCGTAATAATTGGTGGTATAAAAAAGTTAATAGTCCAGATAGGATCAACTCATATATATATAGCTGTAATAACTACATGAATATAGATATTTTGGTTTGATCTGTGAAATAACATTTTTAAATTAACATTTCTGAATACAAATTACTGAAGAGCACGAATTTATAAGAGTCAAGATATAAGTATAGATTGATATAATACTTACATGGCACGGCCGCCAGTTACACGAAGCAGCGTGTCCAGTAATATAGCGGGGAAGAAGTGGATAAAAATGGCCGACACGCGGAACAGGAAGAGTGAAGGCACGAATTTTAAATGGGGATACCTGTCAAAAAACGCGTATATTAATCATTCTATGTCTCTATTATTCTTGAAAGTGTAATGATGTAGACATATGTTTATTTCTATTTTTGAAATGAATCTTATTGTTTATACGTACAATTAGGAAATATCGAGAACTCAATAGAACTAAATAAAATCGCATTGTCTTCTATTCCTTTCTGTAATTTCATAAAAGAAATATAAATATTGTTTACTTTAGATTCATTCGATACACCTGACCCCTTTTTTAATGATCAATTCTTAATATATTGTGCCCCATACATTTTTCAGAGGGGCAGCATGGAATAGAATAAAATAGAAAACTATTTATTCAAATAAAATTACATTGAACCACTTTTGAACAGTAATATATATTTTTTTTAATTTACCACTCACCTAGTAATCTGTCTCACCACAAGAAGAACCAAAATGAAACTGGCGTGTTGCTCTTTTAAATAATTGTATATACCGTGCAAGGAATCGAACCCGCGACCATCGGAAGTAAAGCGCAGTGTTAAACCGCGAGATCACCGAGAGCGTCAAATTACTTACCATACAGCACTCTTGAGTGGGTAGGCGTGAAGTAATTCGTTGATTGAGGATTCTATGAGGGACCACGTGAACGGTTTGCATGTCGATGATGAACAATGGTACACACTCAGACCGGACCTGAAACATTATTACTTATAGAACATTCCAATATTATCTTACTTATTACAGAGTATAAAACAAAGTCGCTGTCGCTGTCTATCCGTCCCTATGTATGCTTAAATCTTTAAAACTACGCAACGGATTTTGAATCGGGTTTTTTAATAGATAGAGTGATTCAAGAGGAAGGTTTATAATATAATATATACGTGTGCGAAGCCGGGGCGAGTAGCTAGTAATATTATAAACTCGAAAGTTTGTGAGTACGGATGGATAGATGATTACTATTTTACGCAAAAACTACTTACTGGATTTTAATGAAACTTTACAATAATATAACTTATACATCAAAACAACACATAGGCTATAATCAGACTTTTTTAAAGACACATTATAATTTAAAAAACAATACCACTTACTTGGATTTAGCGGCGTGCCACCCCGCGACCAGCAGCTGATTGACCACCACGTCTACCGGTATGTAATCGGCCACGTTCTTCGTCGCCAATGGCAACCGTCGCACCACGCCTGACAGGAGGACAAGAGGGAAGGGTATCACCAATAATGTTTTACGAATATATTGAAATTCTTATCTCGAATACATCTGTATTATCTATCTAGATAGGTAATTGATTTATAGCGAACATAACATAACATATTAGAAATAATATACAAAATAAAAAATAACATACAAATTTGGCAATAGAAGCTACCTTAGCTATTGCTGATATAAGCACAACCTCAATGAGGTGCATATATACAGCACTGCTGTTCAGGTAGCCCCCATTACTCATGAAAAAATATGTTTATATAGTGCGGATTTGTTTAATTAACAGTCACTATACACAGATACACAGATAGATATTCCATTCAACACTGGTCCAGTTCTAGAGACAGTTGAAGTTCTACCGTATACAGTCAAATTAAAGTACATCAGACGTATTTCGTAATTTACGACTGCCCCGTCCGTGTATATAGTACCTTTGCTCGCTCCCATTAAGAATCCCTGTGGTCCCACTTTGGAGCAGGTCCACCCAGGAATGGGCTCTTTCCAAGATGCAACAACTGTGAATAGAAAATAGTAGTTCATAAAAGTAACAATTTAAAAGTATAACTAGAAAAAGAAATAGTATATACATTTATATCAAAATCATAAATTTAAATTAAAGGTTGCCAGAGTAAATAATAAGTGATATTGTTATTTTTTCACAATTTAACAAATGTGTTCAAACGAGATTAACACGTGTTGCGTTACTAAAATTATTACAGGGATAATATTTTTATAGGTAATGGGTATTTTTTTGTAGATTATCAGCACTTTGCGGATTATTCAGCATTACATTCTGCGTCATATATCGTCATTAAAAGAACCTATAACGAAACCAGGTAGCTTCTGGGAGAAACTTGGCTCGCTACTCTCGTAGTATCACGTCCAAATAAACGCTAAATGCGGAATTTAATTACAATTAGTGGAACAAAATAAACAATTTAATGTATACACATCACTCGAAACGATGTGTTTATATTAAATGTTTATTTGTTTTACCCAGAGGCATTGACAACTGTCGACGTTGTGGCGAACGCAAAACTTGATATTCCTACATTTCGCTCGGTTATTTTTTCAAGTCAACCGCTCGGATTATATTTTTTGATATGGTGTGTTTCCTTCGCCGGAGATTCAGAAATATAAATCGACACAGTTTTTTTGTCAGCCAGATTTGAACTCTTGATCATATTTTAGGGTAGTAAACTACAAACCACGTTACTTTACAAAATAAACAATTATTTATACTTATAATAGAAATTTACTTACTCATTGTAGGTCTGACGATGGTGCAGGGAAAGAAATCGGCACACTTCACAACTTCGTGCTCAGCTAAATGTTTAGTGAATGTGTATGTATTCGGATGACTCTTCAGAACTCTGAAAACAAATGCATTATTAGCTATATTAAATTAAAAACCTAGTTTATGACAATAGTTGAAACAAAACTAACCACAAAATAATCTGGCTTTAAACATGCGTTGATATATAATTAATAGATATAGTGAAATGCATTTGTATTGTAAATACAAACAAATGACTTTCAGTTGCCTACTTGGATAGACTTTAAAATACACACTATTCTGCGGAGATAAAAACCATCACTCCTAAGCATATTCTTCAATTCTCTAGAAAACAGGGTGAGACAACAGATCTATGCAGGTCGCAATGCTACAGGTTCTCTCTAGCAACGAGCAATAGCTAAAATCATTGAATAAAAAAAATAGACAGACTTGCTACAAAGTCTTCTCTCTCTCGCCTATTTAGTGTTTCGGATGTAAAATATGGCAGAGAAATTACAAGGTATAGAAACTTAACATCATAATCCTCCAGAATGGTAACCCATCAAGGTACTACAGTACAGTAAATGGTGACAAAATGAGCAACAACTACCACTTATCATCAGGAAAGCATCAGCATGTATGCTATTCCAGTAACATAAAAAAATTACTGCCCTATTTTTATATGCCTAATCTAAAAAAAACAAGACATACTACAGACATAATAGTGTATATTAACATAACAAATCAACAAGTAAAATAAAGAACAGAATATTTTAATATAATTATTAACGTTAAATTTAAATAATATTCAAATAAAATCTCTCACTTCTTGTATCTTTACATAGTATAAAACAAAGTCGCGGCCGGTGTCTGTTCGCTTATATCTATTAAATTATGCAACGGATATTAATGCAGTTTTTAGCAATCAATAGAATGATTGAAGAGGAAGATGCACTGTCTGTTTGCATATAGCTCTTAACACAACGGATTTTAATGCAGTATTCAGCAATAGATAGAGTGATTCAAGAGTAAGATTTCTATGTATTATATAATATATGCATGCTACAGTACAGAACAAGGTGCGGAATTAAAAACATTTGTAATGCATCCATGCGAAACCAAGATGCTGGTAAGATATAAGATCATGAAGCAATAATAATCAATAATTAAAAATTCGCAGGCGTGTGCTAGACATAGAAGTGAATGTTCTTAATCAATACATTATTATAGTCAAGTTATCTAAAGATGTACTGCTATGACTAGTAATGAATATAAATAGTCCAGATAGGGTGCAATATTTAGGTTGGCTAGTTTAATTAAATAAAAATGATAAATTACAAGTTGTGTACACTCACTTTGGCTCCATTTCCAATAGTTCAGCTTCAGTCTTACTTTCCACCAATGCTATGATCCTCTCGGGGTCATCAGGTGCCTCATACACTTTCTCATGGGCCTCTGTCAGGTACGAGTTGACATATGCTGATGAAACATGAATCATTACCTGAAATAAGATCACACGTTACTAATATAATAGTCTAAAAAGTTAGATACAAATAAATAAAATTGAAGTGTATGTTTGTAATTTCAATTTAATAGCTTCTCACAGAATGCATATTAAAGTGAATAGGTATGGTACTAACGTCCAAAAATTTTTTTAATCTTTTTCGTCAGTCTGACTATTTGTTATTGCTAATCTCTTTACTTTGACTTTCACTCGCACATAGCTAATATTATAAGGAGGAACTTAACCTACTTTAATTTTAGTAATTTCATATATTTTAATTTAAGTTCAAAGTCACGTTGACGAAGTCGCGGGTAAATACTAGTAAACTATTAAATGCTTATCTAAAACATATTATTGGTGTATGTGAAACAGTTTTTCTATTAGGAAATCTGACATGGCATCAAGTAGACTAATGACATACACTGTATGTATAGATGTATGAATATTCAATATGAGATTGAGATTGGATTGAGAGAAAGTAGTAACATTGGCATTGAAAAATAGAATTTTGATATATTGCAGATATTTCTGATCTCTAAGTTGCATGTTTTTGTATGTAATTGGAATGGCAAACAAGTAGATAACATGCTGACATGAGCATGAGGCTCACCTGATGGTATACGAACACCACCATGGACACCGCATTATTTGGTTACTGAGATACCATAAGCTGCCATTCCAGAAAACTAAGATGTCATGCCTCTTATCCTGTAATTTCACTGCATAATCTCAGCCTACAATCAAAAGACGGCTCACAAAGTAAGCTGCTTGTTGGATGAAATCGAGGAGACTAAGGAACCCATGCAGCAGACTTTTTTACAAAGTTTACCTTCAGGTAAAAAAGTCTATCTCGGATTTATTAAAAATTAGTACCTTTAAATTTTTTATTTGACGTGACAACTCCATTACTCTCCTTGTTCCCAACAGGTTAATTTTCACCGTCGGCCGCAAAGACTCCTGGAAGTCGAGAGTGGCCGCCGAATGTAGCACCACATTCACATTATTGATGAGTAACTGGCGATCTTCAGGGCTGAGTCCGAGGTTCTCTTCCCCAACATCACCTGACACTGGTATTATTTTCTTGAATACATCCGTTGTTTGTTTTTCGATGAGTTTTTCGAATATCTGCAGAAAAATATTTTTTTATTTTATTAATTTACTGTTTTGATAAATTCCTGACCAATTTGTCACAATGGGCTTGCCGATCAGACCTTGTATTCATCTTATCATTGTCCATTGATGTCCCACCAGCCTAAACCATTAGCACAGGTGGATGCATCATTCCATTACTATCCATAACAAAAAAAAACTAGCATCCTCATCAACCAGAGTAAACCATAGGTGGGTGTAGTTTTGTGACTGTACTGTTATTTAATATGGGTATAAAAACACAGTAAATAGACGATAACAAGAACAAGAGAAACAATAGACATGTTATGTGACATCTAATTACCATATTGAATTTTAAGTAATGTTTAAATTTTAAATATTTTCCCTATTAATTACATATAAGTGAATAGTTCTAGTTCAAATTTACATTTTTTTATAGAGAAATCCTACTATGATTGTTTGTATTAGTCTTTGTTTCACCATTTTACCCTTGACTATGCTTAGCTTGGGACTAGAGAATGCTGTGAAAATTATCCAGGAGTATTAATATTATTACTTTATTTAGTTTTACGAAAAAGTAAATGTATTCGCTCAGACTATTAAGTAGTAAGTTTATATTGTATCTATTTGAATTAACAAATAGTTGAATGTATTTGAATAAATTTTGAACAGGTAAACTACATATTAGGTTAATTTATTGATTATATTTGTCACTTAATGTAATAATTATATTGTGAACTCCATTACTTTATCACCTTGTGAAATTGTAAACCGCTTATGAACTGAGACTGTACTGAATATTTATAATGGTATATTTTATACAATAACATATATTCATTTTTAGTAGTTTACAGTCTATAGATGTTAGGGGGAAGGGATTGCTAGTAATGGGAGCTAAGGGAGCCAGTTTAATACAATATAAGCCTTATTCTTTTGATATAATATTTTGATTACAATAAATTAATTCAAATTGTGAATCATCTATGCTTGGAAGGTTATATTTACATATATAACTATTAACAAAAATTATAATATTAAAATACAGAAAGTACAAATAAATTTGTTTATACATTAATAGCAATTAACAATAGTTCAATGCATATATTCCTGGATAATGTTTATCTTTAAACAAGGATGTTTGTAATAGGAAGGAAATTTAAGTATATATCAGAACATGTTTGATGTTAGAATAAGAACACAATGTTTTACTCCTTTACTTATAGAGAAAGCCCTAAGTAATAATATGAAAATTAAAATTGGAACAATGTAATAATAAGCTTAAATACTTTTATAATGAGAGACATGTGACAACAGTGGGAGGGTAACAGCATTTACAGCTGGTCTTATTTTTAATTTGCCATGTAGGCAAGCAAAGAGTCTCATACCATACAGTCTTTTCTCCAAAATACATTGTTATAATGACAAATATTATTACAAATTATTATGGGAAAGATACAATTGGATCTGTATTTCAATTAAGAATTTAAAATGCTACTAAGTGCCACATATAGGCCTGTATCATAAGAATGACACTTGACATATTATTTATAAAATATATACTTATATATCTTTATCAGTTAAGAGGATTTATATATTGAAATTGACTTAGGTCTTTTCTGAATTAGTGATTTATATGGCATAATTTATTGCTGAAAATAAATTACAGACAAATATTGCAATTTATAAGAATTAAAACCTACAAGAGTTTATAAACTTACCGGATGTTTTGGGAACTCCTCCAGTCTTTCAGATATATCTTTGCCTTTCTTAGGCCTCATAAGCAGGTATAATTTGCCTGCACCGGGTATAGTCCGCAGTATTTTCTCAATTAAACATAATCCTACGAAGCCGGTGCCGCCGGTGATGAAGAAATTCTTTCCAGAGTAAAAAGCACGTACTTGGGAGTCTTCCGACATTTTGATATCACACTGGAATTAATAAAATTGAATATTCAATTGGTGATCATGAAACGTGGATAATTTATTAATTTAATTTAACTGATAACTGTTGCATACTGCAAACGTAACAAATATAGTATTAAATTTTGATTTCAGTCACGTCAGTCATGTCATATGTAACGAATATTAAATGACATCACAGAGCAATTAACAGTACAGTACTACATTAACACTGCGTTACATAAAAATCGGTACTGTCCTTTCAAAAATAAAAATTGAATCTTATAAAATACAAATGTGCACAGATTATTGTTTTATTTTAATTGAAGCGGGTTTGCTTATGCGAACAAAACTTTCAAAATAAATCTATGGACACAATGGTTTGCAAGTATGTAGTGTAGAAAAATTGTTGCACTTTAAATGTCAGTTTTTAACAATATACCTAAAATTTTTGGATTACAAGCAAATGTTTTATTTTTTTTCGCAATAAATTAAATATAGTATGCTTAACATTAAAATGTATTTACTTAAACATTTGTGTGATTTTATACGCCCCTTTACAAAACAATAGCATCTAGGTATTTACCACATTTGAATAATTGTGACTGTGCCTCACCTCAACAGTCAATTACTACACGAGGTTTTTGGCACCATTTGTGATATTATTTTAGCTAATTGCTGTTAAAATCATAACCTAGGGAATGTTAATTTACACAACAATTATACAATTTTTAATAGGTACCTACTTATGAATCTGTGTGTAGTCGCCTAGTCGATTACTAGACCTAGACGCCAAAAGTGCAGAGAATCTAACCAACGGCAAATAATGTAGTGTCAGTTTATATTTCTGACAGACTCGCCGTTGATAAATAGGTACATTGAAAGTAAAATCCATTTAATGCGATAGAAAGTACATACAATGCTAGAAATGAGGTCCTCATTAGACAGTTCTCTTCTCCCTAACTCGACACTAGACAATAATTCTGACTACCCTACTAATCGAGGATGACAGTCGGGAAGGTATATATTTTTAATAGGTAATAATAGACTAATTGTATCACGCGACGTTACCTGCGTAGAGTTGTGGGGAAAGCGAATTGTTAGTAATGTGGCATTTGACTCCATAAATAGTACCATCTACCAACCTAACAGGTTAACCTCCACACCGACCTAGAGATTCCTGGATAATTTGTCACGATGAGCTGAATGACTCCTCCACTAGGGCACCAGTGGAGGATAGGATGAGCGTAAGATTGCCAGGGTAATCCGTTAGGGCAGGATTCCATAACCATCCATTGAAAAAATAGCTACGTAGAATATAGGATATATTCTACTACTACTACTATCTGACTGTTGATAATTTAACTTTTATAATTAAAATACGTTCTATGATTCCAGTCTTATCACGCTTTCAGATTTTTTTATACACAAAGATACTTTACTGCAGATCATTCTATTTCCATTAATCTATAGTTTGAAATAGGAAGATAGATACCTATATAATTTTATTGATATTACATTATAACCCCATAGAACAATGGAAATATTATTCAATAATAAATGTACGATTAGTAAAAAAACCGTCATTAGAGCATCATAGACAATAAATTATTTAATTAGCCATTGTATTGCATTAAGAAAAAAATATAATCATTCTATTTTAAAATATGTAATTAAGGGAAATTTGGCACGTTAGGCCCGGTTGAAAATTTAAAACATTGATTTTTTACAATATATAAAATAAATTTACCATAGTGTTTAGAATTAATTAATTTTGTACTTATGAGTAATGAGAGATAGTGTTAATGAGTTATAACCCATATTAGTAATGAACAAAATTAGTTTTGAAATTGAAAATCAAGTTTGAACGTACCTAGTATTACTTTCATTTATCCATTCTATTACTTCAATAAATTTACGAGGCATCTGTTTATTGAGTTTACTAACCATGTAATTTTAAATAATGCGTATGTATTGTAAAAGATATAGCTAAATAAATAAATAAAAACATTTTTTAAACTCAAAACATCTATTACATTGACAACTTCCCCGAACTTCCCCTAAGGCATCTTACCAAGGTTGTGTGTTATCAAGTCGTGCACTTGAACTTAGTGACAACTTGCTCAGTGACTTGAACAAGTAATCCTCTATATTATGAACACGTTGTTCTGTCTGAAACGAAGTAGATTCTATTTTTGAATACTACTGTGTTTTTGGTTGTAGCTAGCTAATTAATATATAGGTTCAGTTTTAACGAATTGCAATATGTTCGAGCGTAGAAAACTCTGAAAAACCACGGAATTACTTTTTTTATGTAGGTAATTTAAACGGCAAACAAGCTAACGGCACACTTGATGCTAAGACTAATCGTCATCTATATTGGTACCATGGACATCAATGGCATTGCCATTCCGGAGAACGAAGATGTCATGCCTCATATCTTTTTACATACTATATTACAATTTTATTACATATCCTTTTAAAATCTGTCTAATACGGCGATAGTTATTTTTAATTCGACGTTTCATCCAGGTTGCACTAGCAGTGGTCACGAGCTGAATGTAGAGATACGTCAATATCTTTATTTACTATAAAATTATACGTTAACAATATAAATAACGTAATATAGTCGTTTTTTTATGTAACAAAATGTACATATTTAGTGTAACTTGTAACGGATAATTAAAATTGTAAATTTGTGTAGCTACATACTTATGGTGACATGGTGGTGACAGTAATATTTAAATAAACTTCTAAGTATCAAGTATTCAACAATGACAAGTAATAAATTATTTACACAAGTTGTATTTCTTATTGTCTTTGGAATGGCTAACAAGCGGACGGACCACCTCATTGAAAATGGCAACCACATAGCAATGGCAACAACAATTTACACAGCTGCTATCTGGTTCCAATCTAAGCAAAGCTTGTGTTATGGGTACTGTTATATTGTGCTAATGTCACAGTCAGATAAGTGCCTAATCTATATCACTTATTTAGGGATAATTTATCTAAAGTTGCATCCGTCAGGCGGGAGTTGGCCATCAACCGCTTCATAAGTCCTTCCGCGGGTTTGGAGTGCCACCTGCACTCGCCCCCTATCGTCCGGTGAAACTGTAAAGGCCAGCTGCGGCCAACAGGATTAGAGTAGTCCGAATTTTTTTTTAAGTCTTAAATTGTATTGTAAATAATTTATTAATATGTAAATGCATTATTTTCTATACTCAAAGATAAAAATCTAGTGAATAAAACTTTACTCTATATTTAATAGTAAAAAGTATAGGTACTAAACAACTGACATAAAAACATAGATACATTTTTCGTGTAAATATATAAATATTATAAAACACCCAGACCTATACAAACAATTATACTCATGAATACAAATGTTTGTACACGAAGGTTTTCAAGGGGAGTAGCGTGGTCTTCTCGAAAAGATACATTGCTAGCACGGATAAGATAATCTTATTGTAGTTTTTTTTTTTTTTTAATATTATAAATGCGAAAGTTTATAAGTATGGATGGATGTTCGAGGTTTTCACCTTTTGTGTTAAGGATAAAATGTAACATTATATTGTACCATTAATAAATAATAAAAAAAATACATGTATCGACACTGATGTTGATCTCGTAATAACTATATCTCGCAAAAACTACTAAACGGATTTTGATGAAACTTTACAGTAATATGGCTTGTACATCAGAATAACATATAGGCTATAAATTTAACTCGGCTGAAAGCGCGGGCATCGCTAAAATTGTATATTGTCAACCAAACCTACTGGTCCCCAAAATTGTTTTAAAAGTGATTTTAAATCACAAATATGGTAGATACGAATGTGTGAGATGTAAATCCGTATAGAGTTATTGACGATGCAATACAAACAGTTCGAGGATATCGCGCTGTGGTCAAGATTGTTTGCGTCATTCAAGGCGAAAAGATGTTTTCCTTTGCGACTGTTTAACAGAGCTAGGCATATGGACTTTAACCTCTGAGCCGTATGAACATAAATTTCTGTGCAAATTGCGTTCTCTACTCTTTCAATGGAAAATTCCAGAAACATTTTCCAAGTTATTCACTGTAATCAAAATTTAATAATTTTACAGCTTGTACCTAAAATTAATATCTTATTAATATTTTTATTTTTTTATTTTTTAATTATTGATTGTGAGTACGGATAGATACATAGATGGATGGATGGTTGGGTGTTTGTTACTCTTTTACGCAAAAACTCCTGCACGGATTTTGTTGAAACTTCATAATTATAGCTTATAGATCAAAATAATATATAGGCTATAAATTTCATGCGGATGAACCCGCAGGCACAACTATGTAGATAATATTTTATTATCGTTTCCTGACATTGTTCTTCCAGTTAAGATTTTTTAAAATAGTAAACAATCTGCAATATCATATTCTACAATTGTTTTGGTTTTGTTGTAAAAGTAAATCTATAATATCAATAAAATAGTTAATTAGCTAATTTCAGTTTATAATCAAATCAAATGTAAAGGTTTTTCTCAATTCGTATTTTGTTATTTAAGATAGATTTTTTTTAATGGATGATAATGGAATGGTGATCTTCGCTATCGGTTATACGCAAGCGGAGCACCAGTAGAGGATATAGGATCAGCATGAAATCAGCTCAGTTAGCCCATCGTGACAAGTTCACTAGGAATTTATCATGATGGTTTCCAAGGGGATGTCAACCTGACATTTGAGATAGATTAGAGAGCTAGATTTTTTTAAATGTATGTTAATGGAATGGTGCACTCGCCTGCGCTAACGGTTTACGCTGGCGGGGTACCAGTGGAAGATGATAACATGAGTATGAGATCAGGTCAGTTAGTCCATTGTGACAAATTCACCAGGAAATTATCACGATGGTTTCCAGGGGGACCCGCGTGGAGGTTAACCTAGTAATAAGGTCATAAATCTATATTACTAACTATCCCTTTCCCCCCAGAGAGGTAGATTTGAATTGTCGTAATTGACTGTGATAGACCTACGTAAACAAATATTTTGATAT